CTAATCACCTTGATAATGATTCTATTTATAGAGTTTGAATATGCTAAAAAGATAAAAATCGGATGCTTAATCGGGGGAGAAAAACATCATGTTTCTGAAGAGTGGGACACGTGTCGCCACTTGATTCGCGCGCAGGAGAGACGTGGTGCACAGCTGGACCACGCGGAAGAGAACTGGACGCACGCGAGAGAGAAACTCGCGTGGAGAGGGAAAGTGCGCGCAAAATGCGCGTACGCGGGGGAGCAACTGGACCCCACTGGGACACGTGGCGAGATCTGGTTGGAGGGGTGCTGGCACGCGGGACCCACGCGGAAGAGAGAGGAAGCGTGCCTGACGCGCGCGTGAGGAGAAATCGCACGGAGAGCGGGCATTGCGCGCCAGGCGCGCGTTTGCGAGGGGACAGCTGGGTCCCACGGCTTGCGGTGCGGCAGTGATCGACACGTGTCGGCTGGGTTGGCTCGCGGCTTCTTGGCTCAGCTCGCGGCTCTCGCACTAATCAGCTCGGCTCGGCTAGATGATGGGCTGATGGGCTTTGGGCCGAATTGGGCTTTTCTTGGGCTCAACTTTTGGGTTTTGCTTGGTAAACTAGCCCAAATCCAATTGTTTTCTTCAAAAACCTGAAAAATAAAATAAATCTAATTAAAATTAAATCCTCTAAATTTAGGAATATTTGAAATTAAAATCACAAATTTGATAAAATAATTTGACAATTATGAACATTAAAAGTGCAAATTCGTGCACTTATCAATTGCCATTGAACGTGTTTTCAGAATTAAAACGTTTTTTTAATTTATTGTAAAATGAGAGAAAAATGAAAAATAACTTTTAGTTATTTTTCATTTTTCGTTTTATGCTCTCTCGAGTAGAGAGAGAGAAAGAGAGACATTAATGGATTTTTTTATACTGAAAATAATCTTTTGATAAAACTACCAAATACATTTTTAAAAATGATTTCTTTATGAGATTAAAAACATTTTTATTTTTATTTTTATACGAAAAATAAAATCATTTTAAAACGAGTTCCAAATACACCCTTACTTTTTTTTTTTTTCTCTTTTTTACACTTGACTTCCCCAGCTTAATGACTTTTGAACGACATCTAGCATATTTGTCACCTGTCGAGAAGGTGTTAAATGTCCACTAAATACCAAGGTGAATGCATGTTGAACACCTCAATACTGAAAATGCCCATGGTCATTAACTGCTCTCCGTTCTCCTTCTCAATCTCCTAGTCCCCCCTTGCCATCATCATCTTCTTTATGAGTTTTAAAGGGTATTTAGGTCCGGTTTATTTCACCGAATTGAGTTTTGTTATAGTAAAAAATTTTCAGAAATAATCACATTTAATTTTTTTATTATAGTAAAAAATTTTCACATAAAGTCACATCTTAACTCAAATTAAAAACTCAAATCAATAAACTAAATGAGCCCTTAAGTAGTTTTGCATAAGACTAAGGACGTCATTTTGAAACATGAAAAAAGGGTGTTTATTTTGGTTTCTCTCCATAAGATTAGTCTCATTTTTATTCCTCCAACCACATAAAAAAATCTCATTTTGGTGCTTGGCTTTTAAATGATGTAGAACGAATCCCTCCGATCTATAAAATTATCCTAAATTAATTGTTTTATATATATGTAATTGTTAAATCTCATTAGAGGAAGGTACGAGAGAACCATGCACAAATTAATAGAGGTTAATTTTATAATTTTACATATTAAGACATGACTATAAAAAGGAAGCCGTGCTCCTTTTACTTTATTTCTTTGTTTTTGACTTTTTCTTTTATTTATTTATTTATTATTTTTTTAAAAGGATTAGGTTGAAACAACTTATGGGTTGTTCTTTTACATTTTTTTGTTAGGTATTTTTGAGTGAAGATCTTGAGTTGAGTTTGAGTTATAATTTGAGTTGAAGTTGTAACTTGAGTTTGTGTTTGGTTGTGTACATTTGAGTTATGATTTGAGATAAAAATCTCTTTGAGATTGTATTTAAGTGAGTCAAAACTTGAATTTGTATTTAGATAGTATTTTAATAAAAACTCAATGGTGATGAAAAATTTTAATAGGGTATATAGGTGGGATTTTATTTGTCTTTTCGTTGCCAACGCATATAAAAAAATCATCTCAATCAGGATTAAAATGAAAAATTTATAGCATTTTTAAGAATAGAAAAAATACTTGTTGATACCAGAATTTCTCACACACCGATGGCCCACCGGCGAAGTATTGTCCCCACTTGGGCCAGCCGTGACGAGTGGGGTTTTGTCCCTTCGTAAAAGGCGCCTCGCTGGTAGGAGGGGTTGGCACTCTGGTACATATACCTCTCCAGACCCCCGTCTCCAACTGATGTGGGACTCTTGGCATACAACAATACTGTTTTATTAATTTGAATTCGAGTTTCTTAACTTGATTTGAAGGGAAAACTTGAACTCGAGTTTTAATCTCAAACTCGAGTTCAAACTTAAAAAAAAAATGAACTTAAATAAAGTGGTAATTCAAGTTGTATTTTTTTAAGTTTTCAGAGGATGCCAAATACACCCAAAAAGTTCTTGGACTCCTTTCGAAAGATTTTAAAAGTCAATGACCCAAAAATGATATTTGACAACCCTTGGACTCCTTTCGAAAGATTTTAAAAGTCAATGACCCAAAAATGATATTTGACAACCGTTGGAATTAACCCCTTGCCATAGGCCACGTTGAAAATTATTCCATAAGGTTAATCTCATTTTTAATTCCCAACTACATAAAAAATCTCATTTTAATACATGATTTTAAATGATGTAGAACAAATCCCCACAAGTAATGAAATTGTCTTAAATTAGTCATTTTATCTATATAACTATTAAACCTCACTAGAGAAATGCGCGAGAGGAGCATGTGTGACTTAGTGGAGGTTAATTCACTGTTCATTTCACCAATTCGAGTTTAGAATTTGAGTTTTCTTACAGTACAAAGCTCTCAAAAACAATCACATCTAACTTTTTTGCTATAGTAAAAAACTCTCACATAAAGTCATATCTCAACTCGAATTAAAAACTCGAATCAGCGAACTAAACGGACCCAGGTTTACATATTAAGAAACGACTATTAAGAAAAAAGCCGTGAGCTGTGTTTAGAATTGATCTCATTTTTATTTTTCACGTTTTTTGAGAAAGAAAAATAAAAACGTTTTTAAAACGGCGTTTGGCGCAATAAAGATAAAAAAGAGAAATGAAAACGATTTTTTAGTTTAGTGTAAAATGAGAAAGAAATGAAAAACGACTTTTAGTCATTTTTCATTTTTTATTGTCGTTTTCTATTTTTTATTTTCGTTTTCTCCTCTCTCAAACAGAGAGAGACATTAATGAGTTTTTTTTATACTGAAAACAATCTCTTGATAAAACTACCAAATGCATTTTCAAAAAGGATTTCTATCTTAAATTGAAAACGTTTTAATTTTCATTTTCATACAAAAAAATAAAATTATTTTAGAACGAGTTTAAAATGCGCCCGTGGTCTTTTTCTACCAGTGAGATTTTTTTAACGGTTTGATGGATAAAAGTAATTCTAAGACTCCTGAAATATTTAAAAAAGTCAACGACCCAAAAATGATATTTCTTTCCATATATGGGGCCACATTGAAAATTATTCATAAAAATGACTTAAAATGAAGAAAATATGAGAGAATGCTGGTCTCGACGTTACATTACGGGTATAATTGTTTTTTTTTTTTTTTTAAATTACTACGAAGGGTATAAGGGATTATTTATAAGAACATACTAATTAGGACTCGTTTAGTTCGTTGATTCGAGTTGAGATATGATTTTATGTGAGAACTTTTTACTATAATAAAAAAGTTAGATATTACTGTTTTTGAGAGCTGTTTACTATAGTAAAAGTTAAATTCTAAACTTGAATCGATAAAATAAATGGGGACTTAAAGTAACAAGCCTCGTAGCTCTTTAGTTAATTTGGTTTCATCATCATATGGAAAAATTTACATAAACTTTCATTAAGTTTAAGTTTCATAAAAAAATATGTATTTTCTAAAAATTATAATCTATGCGATTTGGTACAAATTACAATTTACTTTTTTTAGGTGATAGTCTCTAATCTTAACCCTTTATTCTCTTATAATAGATTGTGGTTATTTGTGACTATTTGTGTAATTTATTAATTATTAATGAAATTTTACGTTAAAAAAAGACATTTATGCTTATTCTTTTCTTTTTGCAGGGACAACCCCAATATGCCAATCAAATTTGAAATACTATAGTCTTTTTTATTTCACCGATCTAATTTTTTAATTTTAAATTTTTATAATTAAAAATTATCAAAAAATATCATATTTAATTTTTTATACTACAGTTAAAATTTTTTAAAAAATATTATATTTTAACTAGAATTGAAAACTCAAAACCGCGTGTGATGTATAGAAGGGTATTTCAATAATTTTGAAATTTAAATTAAAATTCTAGCAATTTTGGAACTGTTGCAACTATAAATAGAGCATTTGGAGGTGTGGTGGAGATTGTCCGAGCAATATAAATATATATATATATATATAATTAATTCATAAAATAAAAAGGAGATTTTCCGGGTAGAATGGCGAATTTGCCCCCATCTCTCTCAGTGAATTTACCATTCGGAGGACCGAGTGGTTGGAGTAGTAGTAGTGTAACCGCGCCAAACTTGGCAGGAAACAGAGACAGAAAAATGGCGTCCGCTGAGCAATTGGTCCTCGACCTCAGCAATCCCGATCTTCGCGAAAATGCTCTTCTCGAGCTCTCTAAGGTCAAATCTTTTGACTTTGTTTTTTTTTTTTTAATTATATCAGTGATTTTTTTTTTGATTTCAAAAATTTCAGTTTTTTCTTGTTTTAATTTTGAAAAAGTTTCGATTTTTTATGAGGGGTTTGTTTTTGTTTTCTTGTTTGGATTGTTCCTTGAATTGTTGTTAAAAGGGTCTCTCCTTTTTTTTTTTTTGGTTTTTTTTTTTTATATTTTTTTAAATTTTTGGAGGGGTCGAGGTTTTGATATAGATATGTAGATTTTTGGAAGAGCAATTATTTATTTATTTTAAGTTTAGAATCGTGAATGTATTGAGTTTTGATTGTTAATCGTTTCCTGGTCTTTACATGCAATTTCCTTGCGTTTGGTTTGGTGTATCATTTCCGCATTCCAACATTTCTTTAAGGTTCCGTAGAGTTTTGGTTTACCAGTTTTGTGCTGTTTGGCTCATCGATTTTATCGCATTTTGCGAAGAAAACTCTTTTGGTGAAAGATTTTCTTGCTTTTATTAGGTTGGCGTGTTGATTTCTTTTTTCAAGGTTATTAATCTATTGATTTCATCACGTTTGGCATGTTTGTTTCTGTACTTATGCTGTGTTTGTTAAAGCTTTATTTGCCTTTTGAGTTGCAAGGGTTTAGTGCATCAATTCCATGGCTCGAAAGTTCTTTGTTTTGGTTGAAATGGCGAGTTTAGGGGTTTCGATTGTTGATTAAGGTTTCGATATATCAACGCTGTCACTTCTTGAAGTTTTTTCCTTTTTGAGGAAATTAGAAAAACGTTTATACAGATGGCAACTTTCTGCAATAGTCAATATCTTTAAATTTATGTCAATATTCTCTTACAGGGTTATGCAATTTTATGTTCAGTATTGCTATTGCGCAATATTTACTTTTTCTGAACTTTGTACATGTATGCTTAATAAAGTCATGTTTGTTTCTGTGCATTCTAGAAGAGAGAACTATTTCAAGATTTGGCTCCTTTACTGTGGAATTCGTTTGGTACTATTGCTGCATTACTACAGGTATGTATTTTAATAATTAGTATGTCGTTTTCTGTTTCATTTGTTCCTACCATTTCAGGTCAGAAATTCTTCCCAAGGTTGCCAATTAATAGCTTTGCAAAGTTCTCGATATCTAACGTAGTTCTGAAATGATAATCCTTAGCTTAAAAAGTAGGGATGAGCTGGAAAATAGTGGACAATTTGTAACATAATGCTATTTGTAATTTGGTGATGTTATAAAAATAGCTTTCAGGGTGCGCATTTAGTTGGTCTTCATGGGTTTGAATGTTTTCTTTACGTGGTCGTTGTTTGTGCACTTATATTCTGTATGAGACTTCTGATGTGTTATTAATTTCGTTGTTCCATGTGTATGCGATGTACTGCTCAACTCGTTGGAGTTGGAACTTGGATATTCAATCTTCAATGAACACTGGTTTTGCATTCTTTTGTATGTTCTTATACTGGATAATTACTTATATATTATTTTCTACCTCCAGGAGATCGTATCAATTTACCCTGTTCTATCACCACCAAATCTAACTCCTGCACAATCAAATCGAGTTTGCAATGCTCTTGCTCTTCTTCAGGTGACATGATTTCAACAATTTTTTTTTTTTTTTTTTTCACCAAAACACTGCAGATTATCTTTGCACTTATTATGTCTAATTTTAAAGCTGTGATTATACGCTTGATTCTCATTCAAATTTAATTCCGAGGAATGCAACCTATTTTACAGAGAAATATAACTTATAATCTAGAAAAGAATAAATAAAACAGGACTCTTCACTTTCTAGCGAAACAAGACTTCCAAAAGTTTAGCCTTGGATATAAAATTTGATTTTGGTGCTTTTTATGGGTTTTCATTAGATGCTCAAAAGTTTAGCCTTGGATATAATTCAACATTTTGGAACATCTATTTTCCAAATAGCATTGATTGCCTTCAGTGTAGGTATGATTACACAACCTTTTCTAATTTTTCTGCAATGGGAATCGCATAAACTTGAGGATTGAGACTTTGTCAGACGCCACTTGTTCTTTTTCTTTCTCAATTTGGCCCTGATTTTTTTTTTTCTATTGATAAGTTACCCTGGTTTTGTTTATATATTTATTTTTATATTATCTGTGTTTTTTTGCAGTGTGTTGCTTCTCACCCAGACACAAGGATGTTGTTCATCAATGGTAATTTTCTTGATCTTGTCAAAATCTCAAGATTTTTTTGTATCAGTATTTTGTGATGTCATTGGTAGTTGCTTCTTTATTTTTTTGACTCCCTTCTTCTATTGTTGTTGTTGTTGTTTTGTTTTGTTTTGGATGAAGTTGATCTTGGTGTAGAAATTTTAGTAATGTATTTTGCCTTGCACCCATGACCCAAGACAGCGGACATTACTTTATCTGACGTTCTTCTTCCAACAAATCCACTGAAAAGTTGTCAGCATTTTTTAGTCATTGAACTGTTAATTTTGTGAATCGCAAATGTGAGTGATACAGAATATCCACTGAAACGTTGTAAGCATTTTTTAGCTGATTGAACTGTCGCTTCTGTGAAGCGGAAATGTGAGTAATACAGAATATCCACTGAAAAGTTGTCAGCATTTTCTAGCTGATTGAACTGTAGCTTATGTGAAAGCTCAAATGTGAGTTGGGTAAAACGGGAAGAATACAGAATGGGTTTGACTTTTTCAAGAAATGGAATACATATGATGTAAAAGTATAAATATGTAAGTCATGCACTTACCTCGTTCGTTTCATTCATTCGAATAACTGCTCAAGTTTTTACTAGTGTTTTCTCTCACAAAAATTCAAATTCAAGTTTTTGTGCTATAGTGTTTACTCTCACATAAATTCACTTTTCAACTCGAATGGAAAACTTGAATCAGCGAAGCAAAAAGGCTTAATGGTTGCAAAATGGATTTTAAATAGTAATAATTTCAACCACGCGAGTATTACTAAATCCTAACCCATACTCTAGTCCATTGATATGTGTTAGACTCCCCCTTTTGTTATTCGTTGCAATTTGCAAATATGTTCCGTCATTGCTGCGTGCTACATCTTCAAGAGACTTCAAAGATTTGTATGTGGCTCTTGTTATTGTTGAACTCAGATTGTGTTCAAGTGGATCTTGTCTTTGGCTGAAAGAGTTTTCTAATGTGGCTTCAACAGATGCGTATATTCATCAACTGAATTCCAAAGAGATCTAACTCCTGAAATTTCATTTTTTGCAGCCCATATACCGTTGTATCTGTATCCTTTTCTCAACACAGGAAGCAAGTCGAGGCCCTTTGAGTACTTGAGGCTTACTAGTTTAGGGGTAATTGGTGCTTTGGTGAAGGTAATTTTCCTTGCTACTATCCTTTGTATCAGCTGATGCGCATTTCCTTTGCCCATTGGCTAGATTGGTTATTTTCACTTTAACAGCTGCTATATTCTCATACACATTTAGATTAGGTTAAGCATCATTATCATTGTTCAAGCAGAACACTAGAATTGGTTTTGCAGACTGAGCGTATGATCTGAGAACATTGCATTTTATATGTTGTTACTGAAAAGGTTCTCCGTTTCTCATGGACTTCAAATCTTTTAGGTTGTTATTTTCTGTGCATCTGAACTGCTTAGGGAATAACAAGTGGTTTTTGGAGACGATCGCTGTAAACTTGGCTTTGTTGTTGTTTCATTTATAAATTGCCTTTGGGATTCCAAACCCTTTGGGTGGTCTCTTATTTGTTAAATAACAGCATCGTAGGACCCACTCTTCCTCTTCCCACATTTTTGTATCTTACAAGTTTTTTCTTGTTTGTTCTTTCTGAGGACCTTGGAGTTTGAGCTAGCTGAATTTATATTTCATTCTTGTCTATGCACATTGATGTTGTCATAGGAAGCTATTCGAAAGCAAAATCCTTAAAATCTCATAATAGTATTTTACATTTTCAATGTATGTTTAAACAAACGAACACGTTCTGGTATACCACTCTGTGGGGCCTTTTACCCCTCCCTTCTTTTGCAGCAGGCTAAGGGGAATGGAGAATGATATTCGGCTGATGCACTAGTTAGTTGGACATTTATTAAATTGTAACCCTTCTATCATTTCGAAACATTTTTAATATTAACTTAATATTCTGTTGTACAGGTTGATGAGTCACAAGTTATTAATTTCCTTCTCTCAACTGAAATAATTCCCTTGTGCCTGCGCACTATGGAAATGGGTAGTGAACTGTCGAAAACGGTATGCCTTCTTTCTACATTGCTTTAACTGCAAATAGCTGTGTATATAAAGCACCTACGTGCCTATACATATAATCTTACAGATGTAAATACATGTATTCTTGTTTGCATACACAGATGAAAACTCATACTTTTCCAGGACTGAATCTTAGAAAATGAAAGTTTTTTCTGTTTTGGAGGCCTATAACTGCATGATTTAACATCTGACTAGGTATCTATCATTTTAAGCATGTGTTTGTCAAGTGATGGAGATACTAATAGTTATTCAGAAAATGATGAACGTGAATTGGATATTGGGTTACATTGATTATACGAGTAGCTATCGAGAATGATGTCCTTTTAAAGTTAAAATTATGTGGTAGGGGAATAGAGGTCATAAACACTCGTCAGGCTGCCTATCAGATGTTCAGTTTGTTATTCACGTTTTCTTTTTTTTTTTCTGTGGACTTGCAGTGTATTGTGTTTCTTGTTTCCACTGTCTCTGGTCCATGGATCTTGATAGATTGTACTGACATCTCTTAGTTATATCACATGAAATCCTCCAAACTGCACAATGGAAATACAATCCATTCTCACTGAAGTTTCTTTAAAAATCTTCGAGTTGCTTTTTTCTGTACCTAATAAGGTTTATCTCTCTTTGCTGGAGTAGGAGTTGAGGTTTTATGGTTCAAAACGTGGTTCTTTTTGACAGGTTGCTACCTTTATAGTCCAAAAGATTCTGTTGGACGATACGGGCTTGGATTATATCTGCACTACAGCAGAGCGGTTTTTCGCTGTTGGCCGTGTTTTGGGAAGCATGGTGGCAGCTCAAGCTGAACAGCCTTCATCGCGTTTGCTGAAACATATCATTAGATGTTATCTGCGACTGTCTGATAATCCAAAGTTGGTGGCATTAGACACTTTCATTTCTCAAAATCTCTACTTTTATCGTTTTTCTCCTGCTAGCTTTCTTGTTTATGTTCCTCTCTTTTGGTCTCTTTATGCAGGGCTTGCGATGCATTAAGAAGTTGCCTTCCGGACATGTTAAGAGATTCTACTTTCAGTAGTTGCCTGCATGTAAGTGTGACTATCATTAAAGGTCCTTCAGATGCCATCTTTGGTAGTTCTAGGCATGTTTGTTGGTGTAGGAATGTTTTCGATTTTGGCCATTGCAAGTCCCAATACCATTTTCAAATTTGCTTCCAACATCCTCATTGTATCGCTTTTTGTACTGTCATAAGAAAAATGATTCGGAGTTAAATGAAGCACGAATATTTAGCTTTTCATAGAGATTCTAATTGTAATTGGTTGGCAATTTTCTCAAAGAGAAATAACATTGGTGAGCAACAGCTGTGCACTTAAGTCTCTGTTCAAACTTCTCTAAAGTTCATGCTCACGTTTGATAATTGGGCTCTTGTGTGAGCCACCATGTGAGAGAGCTCTATTTCGAGGGCAAATATTTGTGAAAAAATTTGCTTAATTTTGTTTTTTTTACTTTTATTTTATTTTAGTTCTTTAAAAATATACTGAATTTTTCCATGTTTGTAATTTAGTCATATGCCTTATTTCTAGATAGATTAATGATACTGCTCAGCTTTCTCCTTTTGCCTGGATTTCAACAAGCAGAATTGAGGCAGTAATGGGCAACATTTTCATGCAAAATTTGACCTTGACATTCCTTTGTCGCCGTCTCTTTTGTTTTGTGGCCCTCAATTTGATTTGTCAATTCCTATCTCACATTCTTTCTCTATGCATCCAGGAAGACCCAACAACCAGGAGGTGGCTACAACAGTTGCTGCACAACGTCGGCGTAAGCCGTGTCCCTGCACTTCAAGCTGGAGGAGGATTTGAGCATATGATGGTGAATTAAATTACAGATATAAAAATTCCATAAGACTCCATTCTGTTGTTTCTTAGTCCTAATTAAATAGGGTCCCTGGTGTCTGTCTCATTATCTTATTTATGCCGTTCACCATGGCCCATAAGTAGCCAAAGACATTTCAATTTGTAAACGTGTAGCTACTATAAATTTTTGCTTGTTTGAGTTAATTTATTGTAACTTATTTTTCTTTTTTCCTATGGTGGGATGATTATCACAATAGACATATTTTATAATTTGTTGATAAGTTATTTTACTTCATAGTTTATAGCAAACCATATTTCCAAATGAAATTGAAAAGTTTTTCCTTGATGTTGGATGTTTTACGTCGTTTAGGTATTCCTTTTCGTTTCATTCTTCTATATTGGCATATGATTTGGAAATTATGGGGGAAAATGCTACAATAAGAATCTTCTGAGTTCTGCTTGTTAGCATACAGGCTTCTGATTCCATTCAGCACTTTGCGTCCGTCCTTCAACGGTTCCTTTTTAGAAGCAAACACATTAAGAGCAATGCGATAGAGGGAAGGCATTTTAAAATAATCTTTTCTGATACACAATTTCTATTTTTTCAGAAGATTCCTGATTCTGAACTTGTGAATTTTTCATTGCCTTTGCTTTAATAACTGGAAAACCTCTATCTAGATCAATTAGGGTATGTTTGGTAGTGATTTTTGGAGTCCAAAATTAATTTTTTAGTCATCCAGAATTGAAATTTGTATTTGGTAAAAATAATAAAAAGTGATTCTTAAAGAATTTTTGAAGAATTTACAGTCAAAATCAGAAGCCGCTCAAAGATAATTTTTAACTTTTAAATTGTGCGGCAATCACTTTGAAATACAATTAATGAAACTTTCATAATACTTAAAATACCCTTAGAATCAATACTTGTATAATTACAATTTATTAAACATTCAGCTGTTTTTTGTAACAGTTATTTTTTTTCAACACAGCTAATAGTAATTTTTCTAAAATCTACAGCATTACTAAATTGGTCCTTAATTTCAAAAGTTGAAACATGCAAACTGGCCCTTAATTTCAAAAGTTGAAACATTTTGGTCTTCTCAACTTTGAATTTTTCAATGCCTATGCTCTAACAACTGTAAAACATCTATCTAGATCAATTAGGGTATGTTTGGTAGTGATTTTTAGAGCCCAAAATTAATTTTCTAGTCATTCAGAATTGAAATTTGTATTTAGTAAAAATAATAAAAAGTGATTCTTAAAGAATTTTTGAAGAATTTACAGTCAAAATCAGAAACTGTTCAAAGACAATTTTTGACTTTTAAATTGTGCGGCAATCACCTTGAAGTACAATTAATAAAACTTTCATAATATTTAAAATACCTTTAGAATCAATACTTGTATAATTACAATTTATTAAACATTCAACTATTTTTTATAACAGTTATTTTTTTTCAACACAGCTAATAGTAATTTTTCTAAAATCTACAGCATTACTAAATTGGTCCTTAATTTCAAAAGTTGAAACATGCAAACTGGCCCTTAATTTCAAAAGTTGAAACATTTTGGTCTTCTCAACTTTGAATTTTTCGATACCTTTGCTTTAACAACTGTAAAACCTCTATCTAGAGCAATTAATTTCAAAAGTTGAAACAATTTGGTCTAATTGTTCGTCATTGTTCAATTTGCCAAGGCACTGAAATTTGTCCGACTTAGCAGCACCAATAGTCATACTTCTTGACGGTTTCTTTTGACGTTCCCAGTTTTGTCGCCACAATCTTCACCTCTCTGTGGAGTTTGTCAAATCTTTGCTTCAGTGAGACCATGCCACTGTACAGAGTGGCTCTGCCACTTGAAGATGAGCCAGGATAGCCACCTTTACTTAAATTTTTTAAAAAAAAAATATTATTTTTAAAAATTTTAAAATTTTACACTTAAATTTCTATTGAAATAATATATATCTCTATTAAAATACATATATATTTTTTATATATTCTCATTAAGATAATTTATTAAAAAAAATTTAATGTACACATAATTTATTAAAAAAAATTACACTTTCAGTGAAATAAAAAGTTGGCTCCAACTGTACTCGGCACTTTATACTCGTCATTGGTTGTTTGCACTGTTTCAGTTTACTTGTTTTTTTTCCTTTTGAAAACCAGTCGGCTTTCTGTTGTTCCTTAATGTAAGATGGCCTCTCAGAAATATTTGAAAGCCCCGAGTGATCAAAGATCACTTTTGTGAGGTTTGGTAAGGAGATTCGTACTCTGATTTAAATTATGGTTCATAATTCGTTATAATATTTTTTTTTTAAAAATACACGTAAATAAAAAATAATTCTAATCTCGCTACAGTGTCTTCTAGGGGATTATTATCGAAGATTTCATTTCCTTAGTCTTTTTCAACCTTAAGCGTAGTTCCCTATAATATAAAATATAATAATATTATTAAAATAATTAATATAATTTTAATATAATATTTAATTATATTAATTATTATATTATTATTAATATAATAAATATAATTATATCAATACAATATAATATATAATATATTATAAAATAATAATTACAACATCATATTATAATTATAATATCATATTATAATTATATTATAATTATAATATTATTATAATATCATATTATATGATAAAATAATAATATTAGAGTTATTAATATAATTATGATATTATTTGTTATAATATTATAATTATATTATATTATATTATATTACAAGTTTGAATTTTTGATTTAAAAAATTATAAATTATAAATTTCATTAGAGGTATTATGGGTATTATGAAAGATTCATTAATTGTACTATGCTGATTCGCGCACAATCTAAAAGCTAAAGTTGTGTTTAGGCTGCTTCTGATTTTGACTGTAGATTCTTAAAAAATTCTTCAAAAAATACTTTTGAAGAAATTTACTAAACACTAAAATCAGTTTTTGTTACAAACGAAGCTGCATTTGAAAGGAAAAAACAATACAAAAGTAAGCCTTTTATCTTCTATGTTTGTAGGGAATCCGCGAGTTCTCCAATGCTCATGTTGTAAGAAATCTTTGGTTTCTTCAATTGTGGTCAGTTTGACATATTCCTATCTAGAACAGACCTCAAAATCTTTGAACAATCTTTGAATCCATATGCACCTAACCTAGAGCAAATGAGGACATGTCACGTAAATTTGAACAGAAAATAATAAAAGTTTTTTTTTTCCTTTCATTTTCGTGTTATCAATATAAGTTGATCCTTTATGTGCCCCCTTTTTTTCATGTTGTTTTTGCCTCTATACAAGTAGAAATCAATTTATATTGGTTAGCATTAACAATATTAAAAATAGCATTTCATCCTGACAAATTTCAAGTGGCAAATTGAAACTCAGTGGTGGTATAGTCCATGGTTTTGTTGTTCAAAATCTAATTTAGGCATCGTTCAGTTTTCTGATTTGAGTTAAAAAATTAATTACTTCTTTCGAATAATAATTATAATAATTATAGTTTGCTAGTAATTAATAATAATAATTATTATTATTTTCTCTTTATTCAGCCATTTGAGACATACAAAAAAAAAAAAAAAAGGCATTTTGTTATCCTCTTCATCATTGCGTTGATTCATAAGAAGATTGAGGCAGCTCGTACTTTTGGGTGAAAAACAAAAAAACAAAAAGAAAAAATGTGTTGAGAAATAAAGCACCCAAGATGCATTATATTCTCATTCTGTTTGTTGGTTTTCCTTTGCTCATGAGCTTGTAATCCTACCATTATCCCATTTGATATATCCAAGAAAAGAAAAATCTCATTCGATTTTAGTGAACTATGGTTTGAAATAGACACTGGTGATATGAATCTAGAATGTGGTAACATAAAAAAAAAATCTTATGAGACCTCACATACTCCAGTTGCACATCCTTTCTTGTGATGCATTCCTTTATGTAGTGATATCGGTAGTGCGGGAACTTTAGACGGGCCTTCCGCAACTGCCTGAAAAAATTGAACTTGTGCCTGTTGTTTGAGCCCGCCTGTCTGAACCTAAAGGACCTCGAGAACGGGTTTCAGGCAAGTCTTAGCTGCCCGAAGCCCGGTCGGGCAGTCCAAACCCGCCTGAGTTGCACGAATTTTTTTTAATATTTTATAATATTATATATAATATTGTTTATTAATTGTATTTGTATATAAATAATTATTAAGTTATTTACTACAAAAATTATATAAAAACTATAATTAAGATTAAAATCAACACACACTATTAACACAAATCAATTCAAAAAATTATGAGAGAGATTTGAGACAAAAGTGAGATAGATTAAAAGAGATTGAGAGAGAATGTGAGAAATTTTGCGAAGGAAATGTTTAGGGAAAAGGGGTATTTATAGAAAAATTTTTGGGGTAAAAAATCAAATTTTTGTGTGAATTTTTTAATCTAATGGTTATTTTTACCTCGGCGGGTCGGGCAATTCAGGTGGGCGGGTCGGCAACAGTTAAAAAAAGAACCGTTGGTCGGGTTTTCGGGTGGGCTTTGGGCATGGAGGTCGGCGGGTTTTGTCCAACTTTAAATTTTCGAGCTACCCGAGCCCGAGCCCAACTTTCCTAATTGGACGGGCGGACAATAGAGACTGCCCATAGAATCTGAAAAAATTCAGGCTTCAGGCAGGCCCGTCGCCCAAAGTTCCAGGATATTGGGTGTCTGTGTGTCTAGTTCAATCATGAAAGACTGGGTTCTTCGCTAAAGCTATTGCTGACTTGCTATCGATATAAATCTTCGTTGATTCTTCTTGCGGTAAGCTTAACTCTTTCAGTAAATTCCAGAGCCAAGTTGCATGGCAGACACATGATGTAGCAGCTACGTACTCAGCTTCACAGGTTGAGAGTACTGTGACAATAGTTGCTTTTTTGACAGCGATGTGAAAGTATTGTCACCCATGAAAAGCATAAATCTGGTGGTACTTTCTCTATCGTCTGTATCTCCACTCCAATCGCTATTGCTATATCCAACAAGCTTCTAGTCATTAGAAATTGAATAGTATAAACCAGAGTTTGTTGTACCTTTGAGATAGCGAAGAATTCTCTTTGCGGCCTTAAAATGAGTGGTTGTTGAATTTTCCATGTAACGACTGACGAGTCCAATAGCAGAGAGAATATCAGGCCTCGTGCATGCCAAGTATCTTAGTGGTTGTTCTTAAGAAGAAATTTAAATTTGAATTATAACTATATTTAAGTTCATATTTTTTTTAAAAAATTTGAGTTTTAACTTAAATTTGAACTTAAATTTAGG